GAGTAACATTCAATCCCACTGATCAACACTTAGTTGCGTACTTTTTACGCAACAAAATTCATGGAAGGCAGAGTCATCTTCTCAACATCTTCATCATCGACGCCGATGTCTACGAATCTCACCCGGCGGCTTTACCATGGGAACTTTACCCTGGACTCACTTGCTCTTATCGCTACTACTTCACCAGACGCCACAAAGTCTCTGCAAACTGCAATCCCAACAGACCCAAACGGACCGTCGACTGTGGATGGTGGCGTTCCGACACCGGCGACAAAGATATTCTGCATCGTGGTAAAGTCATCGGTCGGAAGAAGACACTTTCTTTTTTTGTCTATAAGGATACCACCAAGAAACGGAAAGATGCCCAGAAAACTGGGTGGATTATGCATGAGTATCGGCTTGCTGATGATTCGTTTCAAGAATGGGTTCTCTGTAAGATTTATAATAAACCCAACAAGAAAAACAAAAACTTTGAGATGGAGACAGCTGATTCGTCAATTTGTGAGACTGCGATTCTGTCGGAGAATCAGCTGGAATCCATTTTAGTTGAAACAGATTATCAACATGGTCGTTCAGATAATACTCCCCAGAATGTGGAAGAGCGTTCGTATACGGAATATGTGACCGACTGGGCTTCCTTGTTTTGGGGCGATAATGAGCAGCCGGTAGCAAATTTACAGAGTTATTGAAATTGCTACAGTAACAAGAATTATTCATGGAGATAAGTGGTGATGAGCAGAATATTCACGATTTTGATTCAGAGATGAATGATGATGAGCCAAATATAATGTTTTTTTTTTTTGTTTAGAACTGAAAAAGAGTAGACAATGATCTTCAGGATGTTCTTGTCCTGTCCTGTCATGTCATATGATATTTGATATATGAAATTAGAAGTTTAATTCGTATTCTTGAAATTATTTTCTTTAATTTCATTTCTTGCGCATGTTGTAAATAAACCAACCCAAAGATAAAAACAAACAGACAAACAGAAATTTAGTCTTAAATTTAATTTCATTAATGCTTGTCTTTATAAAATGGTATTCTACCCTACCTTTTTATTTATGTATTCTTTCAAATTATACATAACAATTTTTTATGGTTTGAAAAGCAAAGTATGTATTGATTCCTACTTATTAGTTTTTATTGATTAATAAATCTGTATTATCTTTTCTTAATCATTATTATTTAATTTAATCAGAAAGAAAATAACCATAAATTTTTAAAAAAATATGTTTGAATTTGAGAAAATTGATATAAATTAATTCAATATAATTGAATTCAACTAAACTAGTTTTTTTTTTTAATTAGATTTGTACATTTTTCATCGTATAAATATGATATTAAAAAAATGAAAAATGTAAAATATAAAATATAAAACTAGTTTCAAAAATAAAAAAAATTTACTTATCTATATAATAGATGGATCCTAAAATATCTTTTTTCAATCTTTATTTAAAAAATAAAAAAGCCTAAATCCAGCCCACGTAGGGAGTTTGGCCCAACTCCAGTATTAAGATCCAATGGTTTATATCCACCGTAATATTTTGCTTCAATAAATTTTAATAATAACTAATTAATATATAATAATGATAATGATAATGATAATAACATAGAATGAAAATAATAAAAAAATTTATATATGAATGATTATATATTAATGTATGTTAATGATATATTTTTATTTGTATAATAGAATGATATGATTGTATTTTTGGTATATAAAAAGTAAGTAATGTAAAAATAAATAAATTATTTACTAATAAAATTATATTTATATTTAAATAAATAATTATTATATATAATTAAATTAAATTTTTATATTTAATAAAATAAATAATAATTTAAAATAATAAAAATAAAATTAAGAATATTACACAAAATATAAAAAAAAAAAATAACGTGCGGATCACATATCACTGATTCGATAATTTTAAAATTAATTTTAAATTTACTGATCTGATATCATTTACTATCATTAAAAATTAAAACAAACAATCATAAATGCTTAATCACTTACCATAATGCTATAAAATCGTCAGTCTGAGCTAGGGTTTTATTAAGCCACTGCCGCTTGCAGTCCCTTTTCATTTTCTCATTCCTGATCCGACGTGAGGTATTATTGTTCAGTTTCATCTGTATCCATGTGAAATTCATTTTTATAAGCATGTGAATAACTACGCATTCCGATGCTCTTTAATTAGGAAATTCTTATTATTTATTTTCTCTAGTTTGCATCATGATTCGGTTAGATGTACTGGATTTGCAAGTTCTGGATAATGGATGCCTTCCTCTATAATGATTCGAACTTTTGCTGTTAGTAATTGCTTAGAAAATCCGTTTCCTTTTCATTTTCTCTATAAGACTTGTTTTTTTAGTATTGTTAACGACTCGAAAGGTGATTTGCATATGAATTTATAAACTGAGTTGATGGTTCTAATCGATTTGAGCTGACAAGATTCAATATTTGTTCTTGTAGGCTTATTTGTTTTGGGGATAAAATCGTGTTTCTTTAAAACCTTTTTTCCTATCAAATCCTTTGTTTAAGCTTAGTTAATGCTAGGCTTATGGTCAGCGTTAAGCAGTGCACTTCACTTTCATGTACCTCTATGTTTTAAGGAAAACATAAACGTTACTACTATTATTAAGATTACTTTTAATTTGACTGTGCGCTTGCTGTTTATTGACATGTTGATACCTTGCAATGATGGAAATGGCTAACCCCAAAAGAAACGGTGAGTAATCAAGGCTGGAGTCTCAAAGGGTTCTTTTGCCAAAATCCTGTCATGGGTATTTGGAAAGAAATACTAAATGAGCCCGAGAATTGGCATCATTCATGCCATAGGCCTCTGGTTTGGGGAGCATTTCCTGTCATCTGCCGGAATGGTGGTACCATCATGTGTCTGAACACAGATCATATGTTTTTTCAAAAGGAAAATGGTTTTGCTTTCTGTTCAAATTTCGTTTGTAAATTCATCCATGTTTTTGCTGTGCAAAATAATTGACAAGGTTTCTTAAATAATTGTTTCTATGCCGTCTCATTCACATCTAATGCGACTAAGATTTTGAACAACATCTTTTATTATGCTTTTTGTTTTACAAAATAAATGAGAAGGTTTTATATATAATTATTTTCATGCCTTCTGATTTAAATCTACTGCAATTGATTTTGAACAACATTTTGTATTATTTCAATTTTGTATAATGCTTTTTGTTTTACAAGATAAATGAGACAATTTCATATATAATTGTCTCTCTGCCTTCTGATTTACATCCTCTGCAACAAAGATTCTGAACAACATTTTGTATTATTTACATTTTATATTATGCTTTTTGTTTTACAGAATAGATGAGAGCTTTTTGCAGATAATTGGTTCTATGCCTTCTGATTCACGGCTATTGTGACTAAGATTATGAACAACATTTTGTATGATTTACATTTTGTATTACACTTTTCATTTTACAAAATGAATGAGAAGATTTAGTACATAATTGTTTCTATGCCTTCTGATTTACATCTACTGCAACTAAGATTTTGAACACCATTTTGTATGATTTACGTTTTGTATTATGCTTTTTACAAAATAAATGAGAAGGTTTTATATATAACTGTTTTCATGCCTTCTGATTTAAATCTAATGCAACTAAGATTTTGAACAACGTTCTGTATGATTTACATTTTGTATAATGCTTTTTGTTTTACAAGATAAATGAGACGTTTCTATGCCTTGCGATTTACATAAAATATGACTAAGATTTTTGACAACATTTTGTATGATTTACATTTTGTATTATATACTTTTTGTTTTACAAATAAATGAGAAGGTTCCATATATAATTGTTTCTATGCCTTCTGGTTTACATCTACTGCGACTAAGATTTTGAACAACATTTTGTATGATTTACATTTTGTATTATGCTTTTTGTTTTTCAAAATAGATGAGAACGTTTTGTATATAATTGTTTCTATGCCCTCTGATTTTCATCTACTGCGGCTAAGGTTTTGAACAACATTTTATATGATTTACATTTTGTATTATGTTTTTTGCTTTGTCAGCTATATTGCTTTGTGGACTGGGAAGTCTTGAAG